CTCTGTCTCTGGTGAAGCCTCTCACCGTCCCTGAGCCTCTGGCCTATACCCCAGTTCTGTATGAATAAATAAATAAATCTTTAAAAAATAAAAATAAAAAAATTAAAAAAAAAAACTTTAAATAAGCAATACATGAGCATATTCTTAGTATAAAAACTTAAAAATACAAAAACAGGGCTCTCCCTGGTGGCGCAATGGGTTAAATAAAGCACCACATCATGAAGCTCTTAGAAGCCACTACAGGACGAGTTCAATCCCCAGCCAGGGAGCTGACCCACATGGTATACCAGACCTCTCCTGACCCGCCTGCTGCTCCTCTCAGCAGTGTAGTCAGTCAGTCTGCCTGTTCTGCTCCCCACTCTGTCTCTGGTGAATCCTTTCACCCATCATAGCTATGGCCTGTACTTCAGTTCTGTAAGAATAAATAAATAAATCTTTAAAAATATATACAAAAAAATAAATATGTATACACAAAAAACGAAATTCCTAATATCCATTTTCCCCAATTTTATTTCCCCTCCCATAATCAATATTAAAAATATTTTCATTTTGAACTCTCCCTTGGAGTACAACGGGTTAAAGTGCAGCACTGTGAAGCTGGCCAGCAGCTTCGGTGTTCTAAGTTTGATCCCCACCCCAAGGTGATCCACATGGCACAGCAGATCTCTCCTGCCTTGCCCACTGCTCCCCTCAGCAATGTACTTCGTCAGTCTGCCTGTTCTGCTCCCCACTTTGTCTCTGGTGAATCCTCTCACCGTCCCTGAGCCTCTGGCCTGTACCCCAGTTCTGTATGAATAAATAAATAAATCTTTAAAAAAAAAAAATGCTGTTTTAAAAAAAATAATAATAATAATTTACAATGATAGCCACAATGTAATTATACCTAAATTAAATGTGTTTTAGCTGCTAGGCATGTCATATTTGAGAGCTGATTTATTTTCTTAAGTATAAAATTAACTACTTTTATATTATAAACTGTATATATGGTTATTTATATTTGTATCAATTTTGATCTACTTTAAGTAGCATCTTGTATTACCACATTTTCCTACTTTACTATTTTCCTCGTAATTATTTTACTGTATTTCAATATATTTATACTTTTAAATTAGAATTTTTCTACTTAGTGATTTTTCTGGAACTCAAGTTACTCATTAGGAATTTTTTTCCTCACTGCTATCTCAGGTTTTCAAATTCCTTTATCTTCATTTTTCTCACTGAAAATTTTCTGTTTTCCTTAAATAACTCTCACAAACCATGTTTAATCCTCAGGTAGTGAGTTTTTATTCACTATTGTGAATGGAATTTTATGTTAAAAACTTTAAATAAGGCCCTCCCTGGTGGCGCAGCGGGTTAAAGCACAGCACTGAGAATCTGAAGCCACTTCAGCATGAGTTCGATTCCCGCCTGCCCCGGAGG